GGGGGACGGGGCTTGTGTCATTGTGTGGATGACGGGGAAGGGAGCAAAAGAAAATTTTCTTTCGAAAGCAAACGGAAATTAGTTTCCCTCGATTGGGAGAAAATATTTTCCCCGGAAAATACCTTCCTTCCATTAATGTTACCAAATACAGGAAAATAGATTCAAGATTTTCCTAGAAAATATTTCCCCCCAACCAAACACACCCTAAGCAAACTCACTTTTCGCAGTAGGTCTAAGCAGAGCTCACACTTTATGTTCCTTTGCAGGTCTCTGGGAAGCTTATGGAGCAAATCTTCAGCATGAATAGTTTTGGTTTCTAGCCACTTGTAAGGCTGAAATTTCTTGACATCCTTTTGGAGTTTTTCAGAAAGGTTCCAGAAGGACATCCATTGCTCGGACTCACGTCCCTGCAATCTCAGCTCCTCTGATCTTATTGTTTCGGATTGCAGATATGTCTGTATATAAGAAGCATAGCTCAAATAGTAGAAACTTAGGCACATTAACATATACGAATTGAGCATGAATAAAACTTTAAACCTGCATATTTCCAACTAAATAGGCAAGCACAAAGACGGCATAGATGGTAATGCATATTACAAAGAAATTTTCTGGGAAATAGGTACTTGTTGTGAGGTTTTGACCAAAACAACTGCAAAAAAATTATATTGTATGTCAGTCATCAATCTTAAATGAAGAAAATATTTTCGTACTTGGTAAAGTTTTGACATTCTACTACCAAGTAGGGATAAGGTCTGCATACATACAGCCTTCTCACAGTCTCATCCCCTAATTGTGGGATTTTACCGGGCTTGTTGTGAAGTTGGGACTTGTGAACATGATCAAGTATTCTTTTTGCTACAAACGCCAGTGAATGATTTCGACAATGCAAGAAGTATCAACAACCCAAAGTACAGTATACACAAAACACAATGAATTGTTCATTTGTTCAAACCAAGTACGGGTTAAGGTCTGCATACACACTTTCTTGGATTCCTCAGACCTACTTGTGGAATTTTACTGGACTTGTTAGTGTTATTGTTGTCGTGAAGTTGTGACTTGTGAACATGATCATATATTCTATTTGCTACAAACCCAAGTGAATGATTTCAACAATGCAAGAAATATCAACAACCCAGAGTACTGTATACAACAGAAGCAACAAACCCAATAAAACCACACAGAAAGTAAGGTCAAGGACAAAGTACATTATACACAGAACACAATGAATTGTTGATTAGTTTAGCAACTTTTGCCCATGGAGTAATAATGTTGCTATTAATTATTTAAACATAACTGACCTCAGAGTTTGCACCCCCCATCTTAGACAATAAAATAGCCTCTCTAGAAAGAAAGTAAAACTCGTTTCATGTCTTGCCACAATACGAGACTGAAGAGCATCCACAAATATTCCAAAATCAGCTAATGCAGGATCTATTCCAGTGCAATTAGAATATCGAAACTTGTAGTCCTGGAATCCATCATCACAGTAAAAAGAACGAGAACCATTAATGTTTCCCGTGCATGCTTCCTTCCAGAATATAACCTTTCTTTCTACAGCGAAAAAGTACCATAACCCTCCAAACACCTAATGATCAGAAAGATATGCACAATTGAGAAATCAAGTGAGCTGCTACTTAGGCTATACAAACACGTCCTTTGAATGTTGAACTCAATGCATGACAGATGATCTGTGAATAAAAGCTCAGTGAGGTTTTCGATAGCCATAAATCAAAGGATACTACATGGAATGATAGGTTTCTCACCGTGGAATGGTAACAAATCGATCACATAACTCCTAGTGAAAAATCCCTCCCTTTGACATCAAGCAAATCGAAAAGCAAAAGTAAAATGAAACTTAAAATAACATACATGCCCCCCTTGCAAGTATAGAAGAAGGTTGAAGGCAGCTTTTGTCCATTTAGCTTGTGCAAGAATGCCTGAGGCCTTGGTGGCTTCAGTGAACAATACCGATATTCTGATGATCCTTAGCAAATACTGAAATAGGAAAACACTCATCGGAAGCAAAAATATGCTCACACCCATTTTCGGAATCTCCATGATTAAAATGTGTAGCACCTGGAAGGAGTATAATAACATCACAAACTAATTACTCCACTTGTGTTTGAACAGTAACTGGAAAGTAATTGTAATTACCAGTGGAATTGGGAAAAGGACAAGAAAATCAATCGGGGAGAAGCGCAATATGTAAGATTTGGCTTCGTGTTCGGTTGAAGAAGAAGAAGAAGAAGGCAGCAGGAAGTTGGCACAGGTCAGATAAAAGAAACCAAAGAGTGCGTAGAGCACAATAGCAGAAATTCGCAACTTTCTATCAAAACGCAGGCACCTCTCTTCGGGATCGATGACAGGGACGTAGAAGAACAAAGGATCCACAGATATTGCAATTACACAAGAGATAACAAAAAAACCAGAACCCTAATGGCCTGCTCGGATCTAGGGCTTTCATCGTATTTGCAATCAAGTGATCACAAGATTCTCTAATTATCTCAGCAGTGGTTTTCCTACCTCTATTTCTGGAGACGACGGCTCCGGAGAGTTGCTGCCTCGCCATGCCTTCCTCTAATAGATTAAGTTCTCCAGCCCTGAAGGAAACGGACCGATATAGTTTGATCATTTCGCTGCTAATCACCGCGTGGATTACTCGTAGTTAGTGCTGTGATTTGGATCCATGGTGGTACTCACTACAAGGAGCCATTGAAGTACAGTGAATGACTGTATATTTCTCTTCTACCGTTTCTTCCACTGTTGAGCTAGGTACGGAATATTTATCAAAATGCCCTTGAAAGTTTTTTTTTTCTAAAAATAATCTCATTTTATTGTGTACGATAATCTTAACTTTATAGAAATTTGCAAAATTTTGGGCTACCGTTGAATTATTCAAGGCAAGTTTACAGAAATGAATTGTTTTGTGCAATAAAAATAAAGTTGGGATTAATTTTGTTGGTTTTTTTAAATTTTTTGAAATTTAAATTTAAATTTTTAAAATGACTTTCTCTCTACATCATTTCTATTCTCTTTAAGATTAGTCTAACTTTGGATAAAAATAAAAAACAAATATATAAAATGACAAAAATGAGAAAAATAACTAAAATCATACAAAATTAATAGAGAAAAATGAAGTAATCAATAGAAATGAACCAAAAACTTGTAAAAAATAAAAGAAAAAAATATTGAGTGGTGAGTTTTAACATTTTAAACATTATACACAGCATTAATGTATCCTTTTTTCTTTTTTTAAAGAAAACTTATCTATAATCATTCTAACTTTTCTCGTTCTTTCAAAAAATTGGTTATTAATATTCGATCTGTATAGTGCGTAAAATGTTAGAGCACTTAATTCTTTATTTTTTTAATTTTGTTTCTTTTCAATTTCAGTTTAATTTTTATTGATTATCTTATATTTCATTAATTTTTACATGATTTTAGTTATTTGTCTCATTTTTTAGTTTGACACTATTCACGGGGTTCAAGGTTTGTTGCTAATCACAAAATAGGAGAGTGGAAGAACTCATCTTGTGGTGGATTTGTTGCTATCAAAAATTAAGGCAATAATAGTGGACATGATTTAATTTGCCCCCATTGTATAGTTACTTTGTATCTCTATATCAATCAATACATTACATTTGTAAGCTTGTGGGCTTGCACTGGTTTTTTTTTTCAAACCACTTTTGTATCCATAATCAAGTGATAACAAAGATTCTCTAATAATCTCAACAATGAATTCTGCACCTGTTTTGAGCACTATAGTAGTCCTTCTTAATCTAATTAATAATAAAATATGTAATTTCCATGGCTAATTGCGAAAAATCAAAACTAGATAAATACTTTGAGATGAAATAAGTATGTAATTTCTACTATTATTTCTATACAAATCTATAATTAAAATAAGTGAAATTTGCACTGAATAGGACTAAAACATAAGTCATTTCCTAATGTAGGACTTAAATTTTTATATTTTCTAAATAGGACTTAATAATGACTAGGGAGGAGAATAATGTCTAAGTGATGCTGGACATTTAGTTGAATAATGACTAATAGATAATGACCAATGGTTCTACATTGGAAAATAAAAACATATGGTCTTATATTGAGAAAGTTATTATGTTTTAGTCTTATTTAGGTAAATTACTCATAAAATAATTTTAAAAGTGATAAAATTTTACACGAGCATTTGAAGTGAGACACTTAATTTAAAACAAAAAAGAGTATAAATAAATAAAATTTATCGAGAAGACAAAATTTATCAAGAAGCCAAAAGAGTACTGTCTATGTTCTAAAATGAATTACACACTTCACGAATCGAAATTCACGGAGTCTTTTGACGGAGTTTTTATGTATGCATGGAATAATTTTTATTTTTCATTTCTAAAAAAAATTGTAAATTAAATAACTTTAATGTACTCCCTCCGTCCCCCAGTTTTTGTCCACATTTGACTTTTGAACTGTTCATCTAAGTACTTTGACTCATCAAATTCTCTCAATAAATATAGTCATTTGTGATCTTGTTTGATTTGTCTTAATATATATATTATTAATATATAATTTCTATAATTTTTTAATATACAAATTACAAGATAAAATAGATTAAAGAAGTGCATTGGATGATGTGTAAAAATGAAAGTGGACAAATACACTGGGAGTAGGGAGTAAGTTATTTTAGGAGGAAAGAATAAAAATCATGAAATTTTGGTGTCCTGTCAATTCCTCGTGAAAGACAGTGGAAGAAGGGACTCTTTAATCAATGAGCTGAAAATAATAGCCAAAGGGCACTCTTTTGTTTATGAGAACACTCGTAATGGGCATAAGGCCCGGGGCGTTATTGCCCATTTTAACGCCAAAGGGGCAGCAAACACCGCCCCCCTGGAGCTTCAAAGGGGCTTCATCCTTTATGCTTCAAACGTTTCACGGGCTTCATTCATTAAAAAACAATAAAAAATTACATAAATGCCATAAGACTAAATATTTTTTTTACTTTTTATATTCTTTCTCTTTAAAAAAATAGAACAAACACATACATAATTTTTTTACTCTATATTTTATTGTTTAATGTAATATTTTTTTGTTTAAATTTTCTTTTGTAATGTAATTTTTTTGTTGTTTTTTAAATTTAACATACTTTTTTATTGACTGTATTTTTTAATTAATGTATTATTTCAGTTTGCAATATGTTACTACAACCCCGATTTGAATTAAGATATTTTTAGTCGCTCGAATAATCAGTAATTTGAAGCATCGGGGCTTCAAACCCATTTCCAGTAAATTTTGAGTGTAAGTTAAAGCTGACGTGGCAGAGAGAGAAAATTTGAAGTCCCGGGACTTCATGACCATTACCAGTGCTATGAAGAGAAAAAAACCGACAAATAGAAAAAGAGAAAGGGAAAGCACATGCATTGCACTTCTCAAAAGCCCCCCCTCCCAATCAATCACCAAAGAAGAAAACGTCAAAACACCCAACACAAAAGCTAACCAATCATCCTTTTCCTCTCATTTTCTTGATTTAAAAAATCCAGTTTTAGGAAGAGGAATAAAGATTCCTTCACTAATCGAACACAAAACAACATAACACACAATAAACAAGTCCTTAATTAATTAATTAATACATACTCGTAACAAAAGTACCATAATTAATTAAGAACGCACTTAACATGGGATTAAAGTAAGTACCAAAGTTCGACTTAATTAATTAAGCACACATTCATGATGAAGAGCTGTTGAAGGAGGAGGAGGAGAAGTCCAAACAATGTCTTTCAAAGCTGGCTTCAGCTCCTTGCTGCAAAACTGGTCGTATTCCAGCGTGTCGCCGCTGGATTTCTTCACCTCCACCACCACAAACGACGGCGTCATGGCGAAGATATCCGCCGATATTCCCAGTTTGCCCTTCCTCCCGCTCTCCTGCCCTTGCAGCCTCACGTTCGAGTCCCCGCTCTTCTTCACGCTGAAGTTGCTCGTTTTCGCCACCGCTTCCAGCTTCGATATCACGCTGCTCGCCGGCTCCGCCGTCGCGAATCTCATCTCCTCTCTCCCGCCCCCCTTCCTCTCTTGAAACAAGGGGCTCAGGTCGAACCCCTGCGACAGGGATATGATGTGGAAGGCGTTCAGCGTCTCCAACTCTTTGGGCTCTTCGTCTTCCTTGCAGCAGCTCATCCTCGGGGGTGGCCGGGGGATGCATTTCTTGAACCAGGAGGAGGACATGATTTTGGCTATGTTGATTCTGGAATTCGGGTTCGGGTCGAGCATCTTGCTCACCAGTTTCCTGGCCTCCGGCGAGAACCAGGGCGGGCATTTGAAGTCCCCTCTGTAGATCTTCTTGTACATGGCGACGATGTTGTCGTCGTGGAAGGGGAGGAATCCGGCAAGGAGGACGTAGAGGATCACCCCGCAGGACCATATGTCCACCTTCGCACCGTCGTACCCCTTCTTCGCTATCACCTCCGGCGCGACGTACGCCGGCGTGCCGCACGTCGTGTGGAGCATCCCGTCCTGCCGGAGGTGGTCGGAGAACGCGCTGAGCCCGAAATCCGTCACCTTCAGGTGTCCCTCCTCGTCCAGGAGGAGGTTCTCCGGCTTCAAGTCCCGGTGGTAGACGCCGCGGCTGTGGCAGAAGTCTATGGCGGAGATCAGCTGCTGGAAGTAGTTCCTCGCCACGTCCTCCCGCAGGCGGCCCTTGGAGATGGCGGCGAACAGCTCGCCGCCGCGGACCAGCTCCATGGCGAAGTAGATCTTCGTTTTGCTGGCCATCACCTCGTGGAGAACAACAATGTTTGGGTGGTTCACCATCTTCATCACCGATATCTCCCGCTTTATCTGCTCCATCATCCCCACCTTTTCATCACACAAAATCACTCACACTTATATAATCAACTGCAAATCAATTAATTAAACGCTAATCGACATCAATTAAACAATTATTTCTCAGATCAATCAATAAACCAATCAAACAATTATCGGATCCGCAGTATGTAAAATTAATCGAGCAATTAAGCTTTTATCCGCCATTAATACCTTAATGACCTTCTCCTTCCCGACGACCTTCATGGCCACGCTCTTCCCGGTTACAAGGTTTCTGGCGTGGTACACCTTCGCGAACGTCCCGTGGCCCAACAGT